GCCTGGGGTACTCCCTGGAGAGAAAGATGCCTTTGATTCTGGAGGTGCTTGGGGTGAATCTGCTCAACAGAAAGGAGAACTCAGGGCCGCCAGAGGCATGCACGAAGATGCTCATAGCAGTGCTACCGCGAACACCTCGGCTACAAAGAACCCAAATGCCTGTCAGGGGGCAGAACTGACAAGTGAACTGTATATCTTTACATGATGGACCACTATCCAGCAATAAGAAGGGATGACCTACCACCACACACAAGCATATGGACGGCATTCACAGCCAGAATGTTGAGCAAAGGAAGTCAGGCACAAAATAGCACCTACAATGTGATCCACTTATAGAAAGTTCTATGTAACAGGCAAATCTTCGCTGGTAGAAGTCAGAGGGGACTTAGGGACTGGAAGAGAACGGTAAGGAGAATTCTGGGTGTGGGCAATGCTCTATTCCTTGACTGAGTGCCGGGTACATTGGGTAAGTGAAGCTTATGTACTTCCTGGGTTTTGAAACACTTCAGTGAACTCAAATAAAGGGATGCTTGATGAAGCCTTGTCAGCTACCATCTTTGTAAGGCGAGGGGAATCCTTTTTACCTCTCCCTCCCACCCCACCTCCGAGTCCTGTCCTTTCTCCCCTAAATCAGCCTTGGCCTCACCCCCACACCCAGCCCTCCTGATGGCCCACCACCTCGCTAACTGGAACCACCATTGTCACTCACCACGTGACTGTGGCCACCTCCCCAGGTCGCCCGGCTTTGCCTCTCACCCCTTCCCACCCGTACACATACCACATGGATGTCAGGGCTTAGGAGGAACCTGGAACTGGCAGAGGGAGCCTTTGTAAAATGCCATAAGAACTCCCAACTCTTCTCCATCTCAGGACCTCCAAGGGTGCTGCTCCCACTACTAGATGCTTGTCCTCCCTCACCGACTGCTATTGCACTAGGGGTGCTGGCTGAAATGCCACTTCCTGCAGCTCCCAATCTAACTCCCTTCCATTGGTCTCTCCTTTCACATCCTTTACTTCCCCTCCCTATGCCTGTTTCCAGTAATCTCCGTCTTTGTGCAATCGCTTGTTGGCAGTTTGTTCTCTCTCCCACTGGATTAATACCCCCTCTGAAGGCAAGCACAGGGCTGACTGCTTCCCCGCTCTATCCCCCGCTCCTAGCTCAGTGCCCGGCTTAGAGCAGCTGCTCAAGAATGCCTGTTGACTCAGAGGCTAGATCTTACTTGTTCCCACCACAAAAGAGAAAGAATAACGTGGCATGATAAAATTATTAGCTAATACCACTGTGGTGATCATATTGCAGTATATAACTGTGTCAAATCAACATGCCTTACACTTTAAACTTATACAATTATCTCTCAATAAAATTAACATATAAAAAATACATAAACTTACAATGAAATAAATTCTATTCAAAACTAAGGTAATCAATATCCAAAACCTCAAAACATAAATGCTGGTTGAATAAACAAATGGCCAGGTCCAGTCTTTCAGGTGGTAGCGTTTGGAAAAGGGAAAAGTTACCACTGGGAACAGAACTCCCGCATGTCCAGGCTCAGGACCCCTGGGTTGTGGTCCTGGTCTGTCACTTGTTGTGTCACCTCAGGCCAGTCATTTCCCTCCTCTGGACCTCAGTGTGCTCAACTGTGACATGCAGGGGTTGGAGGGATCAGGACCATGGGTAGGCTTCAGGGGATGTATGACTGTGTGTGTGTGTGTGTGTGTGTGTGTGTGTGTGTGTGTGCGCGCGCGCGCGCGCGCGCGTGCGCAATGGCTGTGTATGTGTGGCCATGTCCATGAGCATTTCCTGAGCAACAGCAGCCATCGCTTTCATCAGATTCTCAAACAGATCTGTGACCTCCCAGGATTCACCAAGATCCTTTTCCGGCGCTGGGGATTTTATACTTTATAGAACCGGAGAGAGGAAGGAAGGTGACCATAGCAGAGGGCGTTAGATCAGACCCAGCACTTCCATCAGGAGTGCAGGACCCCACCATAAGCAGGCAGGGAGGCTCCCCTAGCTCTGCCAGGCTCTGGGCTGCTGGATGGAGAGGCCCGATGGACTGGCCCCAGGGACTGGCTTTCAGAGAGAAAAGGTAGAAGCAGCCTAGAGTCTCCCTCCCTCTGCTCCCACCACCACCCGACAAGCACCCACTTGTATCGGGACACGGCAGAGAGTGAGGAGGCGAGGCTGGCACCCGGAGATGCCCTCCAGGCCCCTTGGCGCCCAGGTCAGAGGAGGTTTGGCGGGAACGCTCAGGAGGAATGCCAAGCCCCACCTTCCCTTCTCCCGAGGCTGGCAGGCTGGCATGTGCTGCTGGAGGAGGGCTTGGTGTGTATGGCAGTCACAGGACCGGGACGAGGCCAGGCCGCTGGAGGGACGCAGAGCCACACCTCCAGGCTTTGATAACCCGAAGCAGGGGCCCCGGGGCTTGGGAGCAAAGAGGGGGAGCAAGTCACAGATCCAGGACGGGCAGGAGCCGTGTGGGCAATGGGGCCTGAAAGCAGAGAGCGGGCAGGGTGGTCTGTGCAGAGGTCCGTCTGCTTAGGGGGAAGCCTGGGGACAGCATGCAGGAGGAGAGGGCAGAAGGGCCTGGCAGGGAGGGGCTGCCCAGAGTGGAGAGAAGACAGGAAAGGCTGGGAGTAGGGACCAGTGATTTGAGCACAGCCTGTGGCCCCCGGAGAGGAGCTTGGCCCGGGGAAGGGGGATGGGGGCTAGAATGGTCTGTGGCAGGAATGGTGGCATGTTGATGGCAGGATGGCAGTGGGAGTGCCCTGGCTGGAAGCCCAGATGCCTGAGTAGCTTCTAAGCCCTGACTCCCAGGGGGCCTGAGAGCCCGATGTTTGTCCTCCACAGTCCACAAGAAGTTGGTGAAACACCTCCTCTAGGGAGGCGGTCTCCTGGCTGCTCTTTCCGAGGTCATGGAAGTGTCCCGAGTGGTAACATGATGGGAGGTGAAGGGGGCTGGCAAGGAAGAGGCCAGCCAGCCATAGCCGCACCTCTGGAGCCAGAGCCAGGGCAGTGGGCACAGGCTGGGCTGGCGGGAGAGTGTGGTCCTGCAGATAAAGGAGGGAGTGAGTCATGGGTGAGAGCCAGGCTCTCTCAAGAGGCAGCTCGGAAACCAGCTCATCTGAATGCAGACAGACACTCGTCCCCATCCTTGTCCCCATGGCTGTCACACACACACACACACACACACACACACACACGTTCCCCTCCCCCTCCTTCTCCCCTTTCCTTGCTCACCCACCTCCAGTGCCCTGCTCCTCCCTCCATCTCAGCAGACAGCCTGTCCCTCAGCCCCCTGTCACCTCCCCCACAGCTGGCTGCATGGGAGTGGAAGAGGTAGGGAGACGGGGAGTCAAGGAGACCCACCAGCAGAGAAAGTCAAGTCAAGAAAGGTCTGGGGCCCTAGCTGATTTGGTTCAGTGGATAGAGCATCAGCCTGCTGACAGAAGGGTCCCGTGTTAGATTCCGGTCAAGGGCACATGCGCCAGGATGGGCTGGATCCCCGGTGTGGGGCATATAGGAGGCAGCTGATCCATGATCCTCCCTCATCATTGATCTTTCCATCTCTCTCTCCCTCTCCTGTCCTCTCTGAAATCCATAAAAATATTTTTAAAAAATAAAAAAAGAAAGAAAGAAGGGTCTAAGACAGAGACAGATAAGGAAGAGGGGCTGTGACATCCCTTCCCCTGAAAACTCGAGGCTCTAAGGGAGAAGAGGGCTCTCAGGCCCCCTGGAGGGGCCCGCAAGTCCAGGGATTCTGCCCCGCCACCTTCTCGGGCTGGACCTCGGCCCCTTTGCCATGACTGAGCAGCAGCAGGCTGGGAGGAGCAGCCAACGCCCCCCCAGCCAGCACCCCCAGGCCTCATCCCGCCCCTGGCCCCCAAGCCAGGCTCAGGCCACCAGCCACTGCAACGGCGACACCCCAGGCGTGTCCCTCGCCGTGGTCTGTCACCGTGGTGATGACCAGGCCAGCGCTCAGGAAGGACAGAGAGTTCTGTTTATAAGTACAGCCTTGTGCCTGGCACGGCGGAGCACAGCCATGAATATGCCATAATTTGTGCCCCGAGAGGCATCCAGGCAAGTGGGGCAGAGGGATCACTTTGAGACATGTGTGTGCAAGCACACACACACACACATGCATACACACACCTGGCTTCGCTGGCTGCCCCGGCAAAGGAGGAGAAGGGAGCTCGGATGCAGCCACAGGTACATGTTGAGTCCCTCACACGCTGTGCACCCAGGTGGAGAGACATACCGCAGCACCATAATCCAAGCCCCGCTCAGCAAACCAATCTCAGAAGGTTGCCCCTCTCACCGCCCCGCTCGGGGAGGCAGGCTAGGCTTATGCCAGGAGCCTGGAGCAAGCGACACAGTCCCCAGTGACCCCAAATATCTCCCTCTCCTCCTCTTGGGAGAGACCCAGGGCCCACACCTGTACCAGCCCCGGTGCCTCCCAGACAGATGCCCCATCCAGAGCAAACACCAGCCTGCACCACCCGGGGGGCCAGGTCCCCACTGGAAGGCTGGAAGACTTACCCAGGCAGAGAATGCAGGGGCGAGGGTCCCGCCGCCCCCACCATCCTGGGGCGGTCTTTTTCTGGGGGGGTCCCCCTGCCTCAGAGGGCCCCTCCCTCTGGGCTAGAGAGGCCCAGGGCAGGGACAACAGCCACAGCTCCCCGGAGGGGCACCAGGACGCTTTAGGTGCCTTCCCCAGCCCTGCTGTCTTGGAGGTGCCCCTAAACCCCACCTCAGTTTGCCTTCTACGGGTCAGGTGCCACCTCCCCCTCCTCCCCAGGGCACTGCAATGCAGGTGAGACCTCACCCAACTCTGTGCCTTCCCCTCACCCAGCCCATCCCCCTGGGGCGGCCTGCCCTCACTCACTGCCCAGCTCCCAGCGGCTGCCCGGCGCTCTCCTGGCTCGGCCCCTTACCTGTCCCAGGTGAGCTGGCTCTGCCCACCGCCCACTCCCCCGCCCGCCGCCGCGGTGCCTACCTGAGGCAGCAGCCGCCTGCGCTCCGCGCGCACCGGGCCCCCGGGCTCCCAGCACCCGCCCCGCGCGGGGCCCGGGGGGCTCCCCGGGGGGCTGCCCGGGGGCGGGGGGCCGCCGGGGGGCCCGGGCTCCAGCGCCTCGCAGCACACCAGGCTCACGGTGCAGCCCATCCGGCCGGCGCCCGGAGCGGCCTGTGCACCGCGCACCGCGGGCGGGACCGGGCGCCCCGAGCCGGCCCGCCCCCCGGCCCCCGGCGCTCCGACGGGAGGCGGAGGGGGGCGACGCCCCCGGCCCGGCTCGGCCCTCCCTCCCGGAGCCTGGAAGCCGGGAGCCGGGGCGGCGAGGGGCGGCGACACGGGCACAACCAGTGCCAGGGAGCCCGGGGCGGGGCGCGGGGCGGGCGGCGGGTCCCGGCTGGGGCGCGGGCCGGGGCTGGAAGGGGAGAGAGATAGGACGGGGCGCCGGCAGAGGCCGGAAGCAGATAAGGAGAGAGAATGAGGGGGGACAGGGGCGCGAGGGGCATGAGGGGGGGACCCGGTCCAGGAAGGGGAGGCGGGCCCGGGGCGGGGCGCGGAGAGTGGGGCGCACGTGAGCCTCCCGGGTTGGCGATCAGTCCCCTCCCAGGTGCCCGCCCCCCGGGTCTCTGCCCCCAGCACCAGCCCCGGGGCCACCCCCGCCTGGAAGAGCGAGGCCCGGGCGGCGGGAGGACCTGGGCTCCAGGAGGCAGAGCACGCCCAGCGCGGGAAGGGCCACGGCCCCTGGGCAGCCCGCCTGGCCCCTTCCCGCAGACAGCACCGCGCCAGGGCCACGTCCCTCCCTTCGGGGCTGAGTAACGGGACTGGCAGGATGGGAGCCCCTGGGGAGACGGAGGCAGAGGGAGGAGGAGGGAGACAGGTGATGGGGCCCCTGCCTTTCCCTCCCCACCTGCCTCTCACTCCAAGTGGCCGAGAAACAGGGGCGGCGCATCCGAGGGGCAGCATCCCGGCCTCGTGGCGCCACCTGGTGGTGATGGGGAGGAAACACAACGCAAGCGGCCGGGATGGGAAGGGAAGGGAACTTGAACAGCAGTTGCTGCTCCCCACCCCTGCCTGAGTCCGTGTGTGGCCAGCTCATCACCCCCGGCTCAGCCATGCTGCCCTGCTGCCCTTGACCTTGCCTCTGCCACTTCTCCCCGTCGTCTTCTGCTCCTCCCCGCTCGGAGCAGGGTTTCCCCTCCAGAGTGCCGGCCTGGGCCTGAGTCACCGCCGGGGCGGCACACTCTGAGACCAGGGCGAGGACTAGAGCCACAAGTGGCAGGCTCAGGCTCTCTGTGCCTCCTCCAGCCAGGCCTTCCTGGGTGAGTACAGACAGATCCCGGGGTCTGGGGAGGCGGGAGGAGGGCAAGGATGCCAGGGGGGAGAAGCTGGGGAATCAGGATGGGTACGAGGGACAGGACAAGATACATACAGGTGTTCGTGGATTTGTCACCAGTCTGGTCTGCGAGTGACCTCAGAGACCCTCAATGCGACCCCTTGGTCCACCTATGGGGAAACTGAGGCCCAAGAGAGGCGAGTGCCGTGCCCAAGGTCACGGTGAATTCCGGGGCCACGATAGAGACCCATGTCCCTGACTCCCAGCTCAGTGTTCCCTGAATGCCACCCCCCACCCACCCTCCCTCCTTCCTCTCCTTTTCCCCACCCTGTCCGCTTTCCTGTGCCCCACTGCTTCTTCCCGTGCACCCACCCCCGAGTTCCAGCAACCAGCCACAGCCTGGGGGGCACGACCCCATGCCCAGTCTTTTCTACCCCGTGCCCCGTCTCTACTCCAGGCTCTCGAATAAGCCCTCTGGCCCTCAGGGGCCACAGTATTCCCCCTGAGCTCCAGGGCCCGCTGGGGGGAGGGGGGCACGCTGAGATTTAACGGGGAGAAAGCAGCAGGATTAAAACCGGGTGTCCTCCCCCCCACACTCCAGTCCCGGCTCTCAGGCCTCGCCTCACTTCCGCCTCCCTCTCCCCAAAGAACGCATATTTTCCGATATTTTCCGCTGGGCTGGGGATCAGGAAAAAATGAGAATGTGTCTCAAGGACGATGACTCTCTGGAAAGGCTCCCTATGGGAAGAGGGGTGACGGTCCCTCAGCCCAGCTCCCACATGGCGTGAACACCAACAGGCTCCCTCGCATCAAGTCAGGGCTGGGGGCACACAGACCTGAGTTCAAATTCTAGTTTTAGCCGAAACCGGTTTGGCTCAGTGGATAGAGCGTCGGCCTGCAGACTGAAAGGTCCCAGGTTCTATTCCGGTCAAGGGCATGTACCTTAGTTGCGGGCACATCCCCAGTAGGGGGCGTGCAAGAGGCAGCTGATAGATGATTCTCATTTATGTTTCTAACTCTCTATCCCTCTCTCTTCCTCTCTATAAAAAATCAATAATAATATATATATTTTTTTTTAAAAAAGAATTTGTCTTTTAAAAAAAAATCTAGTTTCACAACTCAGAGCTTTGTGGCATTGGGTAAAAGACTTACCCTCTCTGAGCTCCCTTTTCGCCTTGTCTAAAATGGAGTAGATAACCTCCATTTGTGGGGGCTGAGTGAGACAAAGGTATCAGGCACCAGGAACTGCTCTATAAGTGGGGGCCACCCCATCACCTTCCCACACTGCCTACAAGAGGGAGCTGGAGTTTTAAGCTGCCTGTGAACTCACTGTGACCCTAGAGCCATCCCTTCCCTCCTCTAGGCTGATTTTTCCTTCCTGTGAGGAGAGGATCGGACAGCGGAGCCCAGAGGCTCCTTCCGGGGTGAACGTCCAGAGCCATAGGCATCACATCATCTCAGACATTCATGGCAGGAGAGGCGGCTGCCCTCAAGGTCACCAGGGACCTGAAAGGTGAGAGGTTCCCTGGGGCTGAACTGAGGGAGAGAGGAGGGGTCTTGGGGGCCTCAGAGACCTCACTCCCTGATGTCTGACGCCCACCATCCTCCTCACAGCCGCTGTCTCCGCCATCCTCCAGGGCTACGGGGGTGGGCATCGGGTCACAGATGCCAGCGCGGAGCTGCACGGACTCTGTGGCTGCCTGGAGCGGCTGCTGCAGGTGGGGCCCTGCCCTCTCCCACCCTGTCCTCCCCTCGGTCCCCTCCCTTCCTCTCTCTCCAGGCTCCGATAACCGTGAGGGCCTGCCCAGATCCTGAGGGAAGAGCCCCTCCTCTGCTCCCGTGCACCACCTGGTCCCCCTCAGTCAGCAAGACCTTCCTGACATCTAACTTACTCATGGAGCCGGGGAGGGAGGGGGGGAGGGGAGGGGAGGGAAGAGAGGGGAGGGAAGGGGAAGGGAAGGGAATGAGGGGGAGGGTTGTGGCAGGGTGGGGCTGGGGGCCACCACCCAGCTGAGGACTCCAGTTTCAGAGGCACAGATGTCCTAGAGCAGGCCTTCCTTGCTGCTGGTTAGAGCCCCAGTCATCACCACCACTAGCATTTACTGAGCCCCCACTGTGAGCCGGGCTAAGCCCTTACATGCCCACCTTGTGCAATTCTCACTCGGACCCCCTGAAGCGATTCATGACCTGCCCATTCCCCACATTATACGTACACCCTTCCTACGTACCTGATTGTGTGTGTGTGTGTGTGTGTGTGTGTGTGTGTGTGTGGTGTGGGCGGGTTTGGGTGTGAGTGTGTGAGGTCTGTGTATATGTGGTATGGATATGTGTGAGTCTCCTGCCAGTCTGCCCTCCGTCTGCTGCCCTCTAGCCACTGGCCTCCTTGACCTTCTGAGCACACCAGGAATGGGCCCACCGCAGGGTCTTTGCATGTATATTTCACCCTGGAATGCTCTTCCCCCTCAAATGTAGATGGTTCGCTTTTTCATTTCCTTCTGATTTCAGCTTGAATAGTATCTCCTCTTTCTCTACCACCTCATCTACATTTTTAACATACACACATCACACACACCACACATACCCACCACCACATACACACATGTGTGCACCCCCCACCCAGTTCCTATTCCATTTCTCTGCTTTGTTTTTTCTCCTCAGCAGTCAGTACTATCTAACAGTATATATCTTACTTTTTCAGTTTGTTCCTTTTCTGTCTCCCCTTCCAAGCTATAAGCCCCTGAGGTCAGTTTGTTCATTGTGGTGCCCCCTGGACCTAGACCAGGTCTGGCCCAGAGGGAGCGCTCGGTAAGTATGTCTGGAATGAGCGGATGGGAACATTGACGGCTCAGAGAGGTCAAGCATTTTGCTCCCGGCCACACCGCCAGTAAGGGCAGCGCCAGGACCTGAGCCAGGTCTGTCTGCACAAGCCCTGGCCCCTCTGCCCTGTGTCTGCTCAGCATGCTGGGCCACAGGGTGGGTCCTAGGAGGAAGCATGTCTAAGATTCCTTTCCCTCCTCTGGCTCCCAGTTTGACCAGAAGCAGCAGAAGAGCTTCCTGAGACCTCAGAAGGATTACTGGGATTTTTTCTGCTCTGCCCTGAGGCAGCAGCGGGGGGACGCAGAGCCAGTCCTCTTTGTCCACTCCCAGGCCAAGGTACCCATGCCCAGTGGCAGGCAGGCTGGCCCCAGCATGATGGGGCCCTGCCACCAGGCCCTTGGTGGGGATCACTTGGAGGCTAGGGGACCCGGCCTGGCCGAGGCCCTTTTCTTATCCATCCCAGCTCCACTGACCATAGATACCCCTCTTCCCTGACCCCCTCCCTCGCTGGTCCTCAGCTCTCGTTAGTGCTGTCCTCAGCACCCCTCCAGCCCCCCTTTCCTCCCATCGCCCCAAGTCCCATGACACCCTTTCTCCTCAACCACCTGTGCCCTCTCTGCGCTGGCTAACACCACCTGCTTTGTCCCCTGCGTGCCCTGCAGCTGAAGACCCCTCTGGGGAAAGGCCGTGCCTTCATCCGCTTCTGCCTCGCCCACGGACAGCTGGCCGAGTGCCTGCAGCTCTGCCTGCTGAGCACAGAGCTCACCAGGTGGGCACGCTCCCGCTCGTACCCGAGCCCACGGTCCCTCCTTCAAGAAGCTTCCCCCTTCGTCCCCACAGGGGTGGGTTAATGCCAAATGAGAGAGATGGGGGGAAAGTCAAGGAAGAAAAAGCGGGTGGGAGGTTAGAAGCCCAGTCATGAATGACACTTCATCCTGGTCCTTAGGCCCTTCCCTCCCCAAGGGCCACGGCCCTGCCTGGGGGACTGTCCCATCACGGTGCATGCAGCTGAGGTGGATTCTCTGAGGCGGGGGGGTGGCGACAGCACCAGGGCCAAAGGCCACGGGTGCTGATCACTGTGAGCACAGGGAATGGTACGGCGCCCGGAGCCCCCTGGTGTGCCCTGAACTCCGGGAGGACCTCCTCGACACCCTCTACGCTCTCAACGGGGTGGCCTTCGACTTGGACCTGCAGCGGCCGGACCTGGATGGGGCCTGGCCCATGTTCTCAGAGTGAGTGGCTGCACGTGGAGGGAAGCTTCTTTCCACTCCTGCTGCCACAGCTGCCACCCATCCCGAGCAAGCCCCAAGTCCTCGGCCTCTAGCACCATCCATTTCTCCCCCCTTCTTGCTTTCTGAGCCCCTGAATCTCCACCTCCCTAGCCTTCAGGATAACCTAACGATGCCCTGTGATGCTGCATAGAATATGCTCTCCACAGAGTTGGTGGGTGGCTGGGGTAGAGTGTTAGAGGGATGAATGGGTGGTGGCTAAGAGGAGGGTGGGGATGCAGGGATGGACGAAGAGGGGGGCGCGTGCACGAGGGTGGGAGGGAAGGAAGGTGAAAGATGGTGGGCTGAAGGGGTGGCTGGAAAGATAGGATATCCTGCATTCAAGAGCTAAGACCACCTCTGGAGAGAGGTCCAGGATTCCCCTGCCCCTTTTACTTTCAGGTCCCGCTGCTCTAATTCCAGCCGGACGCAGGGAAGACCCAGAAAAACCAAAGACTCCCCAAAGGAGGTGCTTCTGCCTGACCTTCACTCTGAGTTGCCACTTCTCCATCTCTGCTGGGACCCCCCGCCCCGGGGTTGAGCAATAACTGAGCCCTGCACCAACTGGACAGACAGACCGAAAGGCTAATGTGTGGACAGGGGGACTGGGGACCCATAGAAGCGAAGGCTCATATTCCTAAGCGGTGGGGATACTGGGGAGAGAAAGGGATGGCTGGCATCATCTGCAGAAGCCAGGGGGGCCCAGGGGAGGAGGAGGTGCTGGAGAGGGTGGCCAGAAGCTTATAGGAAACAGTCCAGGGAAACCACCTCTTCTGGATAATTTGCCAATGTCTCACTTCAGTTCAGAGAGTGGTTGAAGAAGAGCCAGATCACCTGGTTCAAATCCCAGCTCCAGCCCTTACTCACCACGGCCCTTCAGCACATGACTTGCCATGCTCGCAGGGCGATGGTGAGGACGCCTTGAGACAGACCATGGGTAGCACAGAGCAAGGCTCCTGCCCCGTGCTCAGCAAGTGATAGTTGGCAGTTATCACCATTCCACGTGCTCACCTTACACCCCCACCAGCTTCCAGGCACCAGGTCCAAACACTGTGAGGACTCAGTCTCTGACCTGAAGGACTTCCAGGTCTGTTCAGGGAGGCAGATCCCAAAGGAACACGGTACAACATGACACGTTGAAGCACAGGGATGCAGGCGCCACAGGGGAACATGGGGTCCAGAGAAGGCTTCTTGGCACAGCTGACTCTTAGCAGACTGTTGGTCAATCTAAGTTTCATCACAACCCTACAGGGCAGGTATGATTATTCCCATTTTGCAGACAAGAAAATATAAAGAAGTCAAGTTCGGAGGGAAAGATCAGAGGAGAGGCATGGGACGAGCTTAGGGGAAACCAGAGTCATGCAGAAGGTAGAAATGAAGGAGGGAGAAGGGTGTGAGCTGGCGGTGAGGGAGGAAAGGAAACTGAGAAGAGAAGCACTGCTGCTCTCTGATCAGGCCAAAGCTGGGCTCTGGGATCAGATCGCCAGGTGTTAACGTTCCCATTCCTGACCCTCCTGCAGATCTGCGGACCAGAGGGAGGGCCTGGGAATCCATATATCTAGCAAGCCTGTTGCATCAGGGCTGTGGGTTTTCCCATGCAACAGCCTGGTGAATTGGTGCTAAGAAGGGTGATGATCGGTTTGGGGCTTCTCTGCAGATCTCAACTGTCAGTGGAGGCCCCAAAGGAGTCCAGCCAGAGGAGGCACACACCAGCCAGGCCAGCTGTCTGCGGGATGCACCAGGGGAAGACCGGTTGGCTGGACTCCTCACGTCCCAGCAACACGGGCATCTGCCTCCCTTTTTGGAAAAGAAGAAAGAAGATCCTGGAAGCCTCAGGGCCCCCCACAGCATGCGGGAACCAGAGAGGGAGAAGCTACAGCAAGACCAGGAGATGGGATCCCCACGGTCAGGGATCTGCCTGGAACACTCAGCACCCAGCATCCCGGGGCTAAGGGAGAGGGCCAATCAGGCTCTGAAGGAGGTGGTAGAGACAGAGGGTGAGGGCCAAGGGGCTGTGCTGAGTACAGAGGGTCCAAGAACAACAGAGGGGACTCAAGAAAGGGAAGCAGAGTGGGGTCACGACCAGGGGTTGCTGGTCTCCAGCCCCAGAGGGACGAATGAGAGCTCCATGTCACGGAACAGGCAGGAGAACAAGGAACCTAGCATTCTGGGGGAGGCCAGCGTCCTTCGGGGCCTGGGAACAAAGGAAGGCTCCACCACAGAGAAGCCACAGGAACACACAGGAGTGACCGGTGTGGCCAGGAAGGAAGAGCAAGCAGAGGTGGCCTTGCAGGATGTGGTCAAGGTGAGAGCAGTTGAGCCCTGTTCCTGTCTGTTGTCCCCAGTATAAAGTGGCCCATAGTCAGAGGTCTTCACTGGTAGCCTGGGGATCATTCCAGCCCACAGGTCAATATTTATTAGCCCATACAGGTTTAGGTTCATTGCTATTGGAGGATGTCTTTTGAAAGATACGCATTCTTTAATTCACCATAGTGTCCCCCCCCCCCCTCTGTCCATTGCCTCATACCAGGCTCATTCTATTCTTCAGTGCTGCCCCGTTGCCCCTAAAGACGTCTGCATTTGCGATACCTTTCCAACAGTTCTCCGCGGCAGTTGTTTTACTCCGGTCTCACAGCTCTCATTCTCAGCAGGCTTCCTGCCAATATGCAAACCCTACTGCTGCAGACCGCACCTAGTTGCTCTCGTTGTAGATGGTCTTCTGGAGGTCACCCAAGACTGTGTATAAGCCTTCCTTCAGCCTCCTCCTTAGCCAGAGTCTTCTGGTCCTTGAGCTTTGTAACTTCCACCCCTCAGTGAAGGAAGACATGGTGGCTCCGTGCTCACCCAGGGCAGAGCCAGGCATCACAGTTCCCAGGATTATCCCCAGTCCTTCCTTTCACCCAAGGGTGGTCTCACATGGTCTGAAGTCTCATGGGGTCCTTTGTCAAGTCATTTTTGGGCTGGGGTTCTTCAGCTCCCTTTCCCTTTCTTCCTTCCTCCCCTCCCCCAGACTCTCAGACACAGGCTGCAGAAGACCAAGGAGCAAGCCCTGCACCAGGAGCAGCTGCTGAAGGAGCAGGAGAGGGAGCTGAAGGCACTGCAGGAGCAGCTCAGCAGGTAACTTTGGCAACCACTAGCACACATGGGAGTGGAAGCCAGGAGGCCAGGGGGACGGGCAGTGCTTCATGGCTCCTGCTGGCGTTCCCGGTCAATGAGCATCTTCTGAGTTCCTCCTGTGCACCAAGCCCTGTGAGGGCACAACTGTAGATGCTGAGGCATACAGGGCCTTGTTCCTGCTCTTACGGACTCCCACTTTCCCCTCCTATCCCTTCCCCTCCCCCTTGCCTGGCTCCTCCTTCACTGGCCTCGCTGTGTAGCGCCCAGGACAGATCTACACGTCCCTCCCTTCCCTTCCATACTCATCGTGGCCTCTCTCCGCTGCCTCTTCAGGGCCACTCTTCTCTCTGTGCAATCCATTCTGCCTCCCTGCCACACACGCCTTGTGTTCCTCTGTCTCTCATTTTCCTGTTCCTCATTGTACAGCCTCTCTTTCACACCCTGGGTAGTCAGAATCATAATTACCCGGCACTGTGCTTGGCACTGTCCTAGCTGCTTCCTCACAACAGCCTTATGCGATAAGTTCTCTTTTATAGATGAGGAAACTAAGGCTCAGAAATACTATACAATTCACCCTCCTGCTATGTTAGCAGTTGCTCCTGGTGCTAAAGAGTCCCCTGATTCAGGCCCAGAGTGAATACAGGGCTTTGCCCACCCAAGGGTTTCCTCTGGGGACTGAGCTGGGAGGCTCCAGCACCAGGCCGCTCCCTGCTGATTGCTGTCCTGCCACCCGTCATCCCACCCATCGTTGTCATTCCACAAACACCCCAAGTGCTTGTGTCAGGCTTGTTCTATGTGCCAGGAGTCCTCTTGGGACAAAACAGACAGAATTTCCACCCTCACGGAGCTTACATTCTAGTGGGCGAGGCAGTCAGTAATATGATGAGCAAGTAAAATACATGGAATGTCAGGTTACGATAAATTCTAAAGGGGGAGGGGCTTAGTCCAGTGAGGGGAATGGGAAGTATCAGGGTGATAATAAATAAGGTAGCATGGTCCAGGAAGGCCTCCCTGGAAAGGTGAGGACTGGATAAAGGCCTAGAGGATGTGAGGCACGAGCCATTTGAACATCCCGGACAGAGCGAACAGCAAGAACAGAGGCCCCGAGGTGGGAATGAGCGTAGCAGGCTCTAGGAACTTCAGGGGACCATCATGGCTCTTGTGGGGTGAAGAAAGAAGGGGAGGTCGGGAAAGGTCAGGCAGGTGATGGGAACCAAGTTAGGGAGATCCTCTCAAGCATCACAAAGGCCCTGGCTTTAATTCAGGGAGAAATGGGAGCCATTGAGAGTTCTGATCAGGGAATGGACAAGACATGGCTATTTTAATCTTAAAAAATATGTTTATTTGCTTTTTTAAACAACTCAATGGTTTTAATGTATTGAAAGTTCTGCCTGGGTCACCACAATCAATTTTAGACCATTTTACCCCCCAAGGAAAGTCCTATACCCATTAGCAGTCACTCCCGCTTCTGCCTAACCACTCAGCTCCAGGCAACACTATTCTGCCGTCTATAAATGTGCCTGCTCTGGACTGACCTGTGTTTTCAAGGGATCTGTGAAGCTAGTCTGTGGGGAATAAGTTCTAAAGGGGGAGGGGCTAAGTCAGGGTGAAAGCAGGGAGACCCATGAGGAAGCTGCCCGCCGAACAGGGGAGGACAATGGCGCTGGGACTCTGTGGTCCCAGGTCGGGTGTGGAAAATCTGCTGGGTTCTGGACCACATGCAAGGTCAGGCTTCCCGAGAGATTGCAGGTGAGGTCTGAGAGGAAGACAGAAGTCAGGAAATACTCCAAGTTTTCTGGCCTGAAAGCTAGAATCACCAATGACCACCTGCTGTGCAGAATAGGTTTGTGGGGAACATTCAAGAGTTGAATTTGGAGCATGTTAAGTTTGAGACACCTGTTAGACACCAAAGCAGAGCCTCTAGGGAGGCAATTAAGTGTGCCATTCAGGAGAGAGGCATGGGCTCAGCGTCTACAGGAAGTCATTTTTTTGAAATGGGGTGGTAACAGGAGCTCCTAAGGCATCAAACTGGTAACAGGTTATCTCAGCACCAAGGAACGCAAGTGATATGGGGTCCGTGTGGTCAGCCAACAATATTTATTGTGCCTCTACTACACCAAGAGCTAGGGTGGGGAGATAGCAGTGAATAGAACAGGCAATGTCTGCTCTCACTAGACCTGGGGCGACAGACAGTAGATCAACAAGTAGAAACACAGTGACAGGTAGTCATAGGCGCTGTGGAGAAAAATGAGTCCAGGAAAGGAGGAAAGGGGAGAGAGAGGCAGGACAGCTTTCTAGATTTAGGATAAAAAAAAACACCTTTTCTGAGGAGATGACATTTAAGGAGAAACCCTAACCATGGGAAAACTGGACCAGGCAGATATCTGGGGAGGAATGCTCCAGGCTGGGGACCAGCAAAAGCAAATGCGTGGGAGAAGTGTGCTTGGGAGCAAGCTGGCTGTGTGGCTGGAACAGAGGGTGTGCCTAAGCTGTAGGACGCTAGAGGAATCTTTAGCAAGGGGCTCTCATGGGCTGACTTAGGTTTTTAAAGGATGGCTCTAGCTATGCTGTGAAGAATAGACTGAGAGTAGGCGGGGGTGCAGAGCCCAGGCTAGACATATAGGAGGACAGCAGACCATCCCAGCAGTAGGCCCCAGAGAAGACCATCCTGTAGTTCCTAGGAAAACACACTTGGGCCCTGGCTGATGTGACTCAGTGGTTAGAGTGTATGCCTGTGTACCAAAGGGTCACAGGTTTGATTCCCAGTCAACAGCAGGTTTAATTCCTGCTCCTGGTCTGGGCACATGCAGAAAGCAACTAATCAATGTGTCTCACATCAACATCTGTCTGTCTCTCTCTCATCCCCTCCCTCCGCTCTCCTTTCTGCCCTCCTTTCCTCTCACTCTCTTTAGAAAACAATGGGAAAAAATATCCTTGGATGAGGATTAACAAAAAAGAAAGAAAGAAAATACACTTGGAACTGAGATAGGGGACTGCCCTGGGGTCAGTGGGCAAGTAAACTCTCTCAGAAAAATGAAATCAGCGGCTAAGAAATGAGGAAGCTGAACACTAGAATATTCAGGAAAAGTAAAAACAGGGCCTTGATCCAAGGCCCAAACACAAAAACACTCTTTCTGAAGGCTGCAGGGACAGGCTTTCTGGAGTTCCAGTGGCTCTCTGTTGTCAGCTTGATGTCATGGCCCACCCAGTTTTCTTCCCTGGAGCAGGCTACATGCCAGCATTTTAAAAATTAACAATTCAATTCATTTTCAAGCCTCTCACAAGCTTCTTCTTCCCCCAAACACACTCAGGCCCAGGGTTGTGGGCACATAGCTCAGTAGTCTTGGGACACGCACCACCAGAGTGATGGAGTAAGGGGTGGGACCTTTGTGTTTTTAGTTCAATATTTTTCTTGGAACCTTCCAGGAAGCCACTAAAGACAAAACAAAGAGGCAAGAACAAAGCTAAGGAGGTTCCAAGCCCAAAGCAAAAACATAAATTTAAGAACGCCATATGCTTAATATTATATCTTATAATTTAAAAGACAATATAACATAATTTTTAAAAATATTTTAAATCCACAAAAAATCACCCCATAGTCTATATCACTTTCCTGCCTTCTCCAAGGACCAAAATTATTTTCAGCTGGATACAGCCTGCCCAGCCTGGGTTTCCAGATGCTCGCCTCCCCAAGAGAGCTACCATAATTGTGTATATTTTAAAATGGAAATATTTCTATTAAAAAATAGCTCCAGAGTAAGTGAAAGCTACACTGACAATTGGAGGATGAACTGGAAATACAACTCAAATTCAGGCGGGGGGGGGGGGGGAAAACTGTGAAAAATCAACTAAAGACTTGCTGGAGAGAACCCTGATAACCAAGGACAGAAAGTAGAGACTGGTAGGAAGGGCAAAGATGTGAAAGGGGTGGCTGGGCTCCCACAGACAGCAGTTGAAGGTCCGGTAGGGATATCTCAGTTGTGGTGGGTTCCCACTGAGAACTCTGGGATCTAAACCCAGAACTGGGCTCCAGAACTAAGGAAGCTGTGAAAAGCAACAGGGTTGCTGCTGCCAGCCAGAGATAGCTGGAAATGCATCTTAAAAGACACAACACACAAAATTCTGTGTGTAGCCACTCCCCTTGGGCTCTGTTAGCGAGAAGGCAGAGTGGACTGAAGCTGGGTGAGGAGAGTCCAGGGTTGGGGGATTTGGGGTTGGTGCTCAGAGGGCAGCCACCCTGGTTTCCTCTGCTGAGTCATTCCCTCATGCTGCTGAGGACATCTTTCTCCTACAGACCTTTGCTATCCTGGTGGTTTTGGCCTGGGGGAAAGACAGTTGCCACACCCTGTTGGGAAAACTCTGGCCCTACCCTGTGGTACGTAGCCCAAGGCCAATCAAGGCTGAAAACAATCAGACTGAAGATCTCCAGAAGCTTAGATTCTTTGCCTGACTCCTCCTAGGCCTGGGGCTAGGAAAAGCAGACCTTGGGGCACATCTTGGGAGAACCAAGCAGAGGATGCTGCAAGCTATGGATTGCTGGCAGCCCCAAATAGGGCACTCATGGCCAATCAGAAATAGCATCTGACATTGTCCTGCATTAAAGATTAGGAGTTATAACAGATCTATCTAATATATAAACACCTAATAAAACCCAAACAGGTAGCCAAAATGGAGAGACAAAAAAAAACAACCCTTAATTGAAAAAACAAGAAAATTCTCCGGAAGAAAAGATAAATGAAATGGAGATAAAAAATTTATCTGATATAGAGTTCAGAATAATGATAATAAAGATGTGAACAGCATAATAACTATGAAAAAAGAATAGTCAGAAATAAAGAATGACATAGCATTAATAAAGAGCACATTGGAGTGAATACATAGCAGATTAGGGAAAGTTGATTATCGAATCAGTGAATTAGAAGACAGAGTAGGAAAAAAATTAATCAAAGAACCAAAAAGAAAAAACAATTTAAAAACAGGAAAACAGCTTAAGGGAGCTGTGGGGCAACATGAAACATAATAATATTCACATACTAGGTGTGCCAGAAGCAGAAGAAAGGGAGCAAGGGTCAAGAATATGTTTAAGAAATAATGGCCAAAAAACCCCTAACCTGGTGAAGGAAAAAGTCATACAAGTTCAGGAGGCACAGAGAGTCCCAAAGCAAGAAGAACTCAAACAGGCCCATGCCCAGACACATCATATAAAATGCAAAAAAAAAATTAAAGACAAAGAGAGAATCTTAAAGGCAGCAAGAGAAAAGCAATTTGTTACCTACAAAGAAACTTACCTCAAGCTGTCAGCTGATTTCTCATCAGAAATTCTACAGGCCAGAAGGGAATGGCCTCAAGGTAATGAAAAGCAAAGATCTGAAACCAAGGTTACTATATGCAGCAAGGCTATTATTCAAAATAGACAGTGAAATAAAGAGCTTCCTAGACAAAAAAAAAAAAAGGCTAAAGGATTTTATCACCACTAAACCAGCACTGCGAATGTTAAAGAGACTGCTGTAATAAGAAGAAATAGAGAGAGAAACATAGGCATACAGAATTAAAATGGTAATAAATAAGTACCTATCAATAATAACCTTAAATATAAATAGATTAAATGCTCCAATCAAAAGATATAAGGTAGCTGAATTGATACCAAAACATAACCCAATTATATGCTGTCTATAAGAGACCCACCTCAGAACAAAAGATTCACACAGGAAGGAATAAGGGGGAAATTTTTTTCAGACAAATGAAAAAATAGCTAAGGTAGCAATACTTATATCGGACAAAATAGATACAAAATGAAGGCAACACAAGAGAGATTACATAATACTAAAGGGATTAATCCAACAAGAGGATATAACCCTGGTAAACATATATGCACCCAATATAAGAGCACCTACATATACTTTAAAGACTACTAGAGAACTTTAAGGTAGAGATCAACAGCAATACAGTCATGATAGGGGACTTTAACACCCTACTGACTTCACTGAATAGATCTTCCAGATCAATGAAACCAAGAGCTGGTTCTTTGAAAAGGTAAATAAGACTGATGAGCCATTAGCCATATTCATCAATAAACAAAGAGAGGGGACCCAAGTAAACAAAATCAGAAATGAAAATGGAGAAATGACAACTGAGCTCTAGCCAGTTTGGCTCAGTGGGCAGAGCGTTGGCCTGTGGATGAAAGGGTCCCAGGTTTGATCCTGGGCAAGGGCTCTTACCTTGGCTGAAGGCTCCTCCCCAACCCAGGCCCTCGTAGGAGCTCATGAAGGAGGCAACCAATCAATATGTTTCTCTCATATGGATGTTTCTCTGTTTTTCCCTCTCTTTCATTCTAAAAAAAAAAAAAAAAAAAAAAAAAAAAGGAAAAATATCCTTGGGTGAGGATTAACAGAAAAGAAAAAGAAAGAAAGAAAGAAAAAAGAAATAACAGAAACCAGAAACTACAGGAATACAAAGGATTGTAAGAAAATATTATGAACAACTATATGCCAACAAGCTGGACAATGTGGAAGAAATGAACATATTCCTATAGAAAAATACAATCTCCCAAAATTGAATCAGGAAGAATCAGAAAACCTGAATAGGCCAATAACTGATGAAATAGAAGCAGTAATTAAAAAACTCCCAGCAAACAAAAGCCCTGGTTCAAACTTTACAGGGAAGTTTTACCAAACATTCAAAGAACTAACACATATTCTCCTCAAACTATTGTAAAAAAAAAAAAAAAAGAAAAGAAAAAAAAAAAATCCGCCGAAACCGGTTTGGCTCTGGATAGAGCATCGGCCTGAGGACTGATAGGTCCCAAGTTCGATTCCAGTCAAGGGCATGTACCTTGGTTGCAGGCACATCCCCAGTAGGGGATGTGCGACAGGTAGCTGATCAATGATTCTCTCTCATCGATGTTTCTAACTCTCTATCCCTCTCTGTAAAATATCAATAAAATATATAAAATTAAATTAAATTTTAAAAAAAGACAGCAGTGACTGGGATAGAGCATTAATGGGATCCCACAAGATGATGGATGAAAACAGGAGAGATGAGAATGATGTCAATAACTTGGGAGGATAAAGTCAATGACAGCTAAGATAAATACAGAGGAATGGACAGATATGGGGAGATTGCTGTGCTGAGGTTGAGGCGTGTAATTTTGCTGGGTCTGTGGGAACGCTGGAGGAAGGTTAGACTGGCAGCTGGCATTTGAGGTCTGAGGCTTGGGACAGGTCCAGGATAAGAACGTTAGAACTGAACGTTATTAGAAGCTTATCAGTGGTAGTTAATGCTAAGGAAATTTCTGTACCAGTTGGTAGGGCGGGAGTTCTGTTATGTGACTCCTGATTACACAGCTTAATGTTCACCTTAGTTTTGATGGGAACCTTCCTCAAGATCATGTAGAGTTCTGAAGACCAGTGAAACATCCAAAAGGTTCCTAGAAGGGAAGGCTCTCCCCAGCAGAGGTCGGCAGGGCCATCCCCCGCCCTGAGGAGCAGCCAGCCCAGCAGCTCTGCCATTCTCAGGGTGCTTCCCGGGCGTGGGGCTGTCAGAAACATCTGGATGGACCACCAGACCAGGCAAGCCTTGTTTCCCAGGAGAACCAGGAGGAGGACAATGATTGCCAACCTTTTTTTCTTCCGATCTGAGCTCCCGCCGACTGTGCAAAGACAGCACTTCCAGTCACCCTTGCAGTTGGCACCTGGGACAGATGGAGTCCACAGAGACCACCAGCTCTGACCACAGAGTGGTCAGGCGGGCCAGCAGTGCTGGCGAGAGCAACACGTGCCCTCCGGAAATAAGAATGCGGGACAAGGGTGGCTCTCAGTACAGTCCCCGAGGGGAACTGCAGAATTACCCTGACACAAAAGGGCAGGACGGAAGGACACCCTTCAGGTCATCTACAGAGTTGACTATGGATGACATAGACCATGTACATGGTAACACAAGTTCTGAGGACTTAAAACTCATGGTTGCTCCATGGGAAGCAGCTCAATCTGTTGCACCCAAATCAGCCAGGGATTCTGTTCGACCCCAGAGCACCCCAGAGCTGGCCTTCTCCAAAGGGCACACTGACCACGAGAAGAGCCCTCTGCACACAAAGAGAGGGGGGCCTCCGACAGGTCGGCAGGTGTCACACCAGAGCTTACATGAACCTGAGGTCGTGGAGGAGAAGAGCTATGACACCATCTGGCTCCCAGACCCACCCTCACTGGACTTCAACTGCAGCAGCCTCATGCGCCCCAGGAGGAGCGCTTTCCTGGGCCTGGAGGCCAACCTCACATGCTGCCACGGCCTGCGGCCCCTCGCGTCCCAGGACAGCCTCCAGCTCAGCAAGGACAAGATCCCCTACCACCAGCGACCCTTGGACAACAACTGCTTGAGTTTGCTGTATAACTCCTTCAGCTGAAACTTGTCCATAGCTGATAAGTCTACATCTGATAAACTGTCGGAAGAGGCAGACGAAATCTGGAATGATCTAGAGAATTACATCAAGAAAAAGGAAGTCAAGGCTAGAGACCTTGCAGGGTTTTCTGTCAGCAAAGACAACGTGCCAGATAGGAGAGCATGTCCAAGCTGAGCCCGGACGTGGCCTGGCCCCTGTCACACTGCAAGACAGGACGGGCGGGGCCAGCCAGTCCAGCTGCCCACTAAGAGAAAACCTCCTGTCTAAGGAAGGCTGCTTTCTGAGTCTGAACCGGCTCTCTCTGGCCAGCGAAGTGCCTCCCATGGAAATGCCCTATGACTTGGCCAACAGCCATCTGTCCCAGACAGACCTGAACAGCCCTGACCCTGGGGTGGATACCACAGATAAGAGCCAAGTTTTTATGATGGTGAGGCAGTACAGTCATAAGATCAAGAAGGCAAATCAGCTTTTAAAAGTGAAAAGTCCAGAGATGGAGCAGCCACTGGCCAGCCAACCACATTAGTCTGTGCACAGGGATCTGGCTGCCATCTTAGAAGACCAGAAACAAGGAGGGTCCACCATCATTGCAAGGATTGCTGAGTATTCCCAACTGTATGACCAGATTGCATTCAAAGAGACTCCCTTTAAGACTCAGAAGGGCTGAAGCCGGTTTGGCTCAGTGGTAGACTCGTAGGGGTGTTGAACTCAATCAGAGAAGGGGCCAAAATCTAAAATCCAGCCTAAATCGCGGGCCGAATGGTTTACTGAACAGTCATAAACTGTCATCGTGATGGAAACGCAGCGGAGTGCAGTGATGACAGCGCTGTGCGGGCCACATTGCAAGGCCTGGCCGGACGGATTTGGCCCGCGGGCCTTGTGTTTGACACATGTGGTGGTAGAGCATCGGTCTGCTGACTGAAAGATCCCAGGTTCGATTCCAGTCAAGGGCATGTATATTGGTTGCAGGCACATCCCCGGTAGGGGGTGTGCAAGAGGCAGATGGTCGATGTTTCTCTCTCTGTCTCTCTCAATGTTTCTAGCTCTCTATCTCTCTCCCTTCCTCTCTGTAAAAAATTAATAAAATATATTTTAAAAATATATATTAAAAAAAAAAAAACTCAGAAGGATGGCTGGGCCAGCCCGCTACAAGAATCCTCCAAACTCAGATCTACCTCATCTTCCCAGGCCCAACATGGTAGCGAGGATTGGCTATTATATTCAACCTATAGTAATGGAGAATTAGCAGATTTCTGTCATTGGCCAGGGAAAGACTTGAAGCTGAAATATCCTACTTTGGAGATCAACACAAAAAATGTTCTAAGACAGTTGTCCACAGCTTGTTCCGTGCCTTCTCTGCAAACCTCCAACCATCTGCTGGGCTCCATGCAGGGACACAGTGTGTGGTCAGTCAGCCCAATAGGAGAACTGATGTCAAAGCCATCTTTGGGTCAGAAAGGAATCAGCACTAAATCTTATAAAGCATTATAATAGATCCTCATCTCCCTCCATCTTAATAAACAAGTCAGCGGACTCCATCAACTACCCTGATGAAATGGGAAGGATACAGATGTTGTCCTTACACAAAAGTTCAAGGTGTGGGAGTCACCAGGATTTGCTGCCAGGGATAGGTGACTTGCGTCAACAGGTTACTGGAAAACACTCAGCTCTCACTCTCCAGGACTCACAGAACGTTCTGGCAGTAAATAGAAATTTATCCTTAAATGCCCAAATAGCTACACAGAACTATTTTCCCAACTTCAGAGAGACTGAAGGAGACGACTAGTGGAAATGACTGAAGGAGGGGACTATGTGGAAATAGTCAGAAGATGAGTCAGAGTTCGAGCTATCTCACAATCGTAGAAAGGAATCTGACCCAAAGATTGTGGATGCGGGCTTCTCTGATAATGTCAGAAGCAACAACACGTCTTCCTCTTTAAATAGTCTGTTCACTCCCAAGAAGCCAATGAGTGGCAAACTTAGGGCTTCACCCTAACTGATACTGCAGAACGATTCTGACAAACTGAATGACTCTCTTTGGAGGTGTCCATCTCCCAATCAGCAAAACATTGTCCAGAGTCTAAGGGGAAAATTCCAGTGTCTTAGTTCTAGCAGCTTTGCTTAAGGTTCTTAATAGCAGCTGCCCAAATTAACTTCTTCATATGCTCCTGAATTACAGATCCTGAGGTGTGTTTTATATGTACCAGATTAAAGCAATTTTGTGATTTTAAAATTTTAAATATGGAAATGCCATTTGACCCAGTGATTCCATCTCTAGTGGAATATATCCTAAGAAACCAGAAACACCAATCAGAAAAAAATGTATGCACCTCTATGTTCATAGCAATACAATTTACAATAGCAAAGGTCTGGAAATAGCCCAAGGGCCCATCAGTAGATGGTGAATAAAAAAGTCGTGGTACATTTACACCATGGAATACTATAATATGTGGCGGTAAAAAAAAGAAGGATCTCTTACTCTTTGGGACAGCATGGAGGGGCCTGGAGAGTATTATGCTAAGTGAAATAAGCCAGTCAGAGAAAGACAAGTATCACATGATCTCCCTCATATGTGGAATCCAGGGGACAAAATAAACTGATAAACAAAGTAGATCCAGAGACATAGAAGCATAGGACAGACTGTGGAACCTCAGAGAGAAGTCAGGGGAGGGGGAGTGGGTGGGAAGAGACCAGAGAACTTGTATGCATCTATGCATGCACCATGGACACAGACAATAGGATGGTGAAAGCCTGGGGCAGGAGGTGGGGGCACCTAGGAGGTGTCAATGGGAGGGGGGGAGGGAAGACTTGTGTAATAATTTCAACAATAAAGATTTAATTTTATAAAAATTAATAAAATGAAAATATTTTTTAAAAGAGAACAAATAGAAATGTTGGCCTGACTCCTCTAAAGGAAGACACAGGACTAGACCCCGTTTTCATTTCTCTGAAGCTGGTGAAGAGTCAGCCTACATATCAGTCCACACAGTACTCAGTTTGGTGTGTGGTGTGGTGTTTGTGGAGTGTGACATGGGTTATATTGAGAATGTGCATGGTGTTTTGTAAGTGTATGTGGTACTAGTATGAGTGGTGAGTACATGTGATGTGCATGGTGTTGTGTGTGTGTGTGTGTGTGTGTGTGTGTGTGTGTGTTGGGGGGTGATTGTGTAGTGTGATGTGTGTATGAAGAGTGTGGGTGTGGGTGTGTATGTACAGTGTGGTGTGTGTGTGTGGTGTGAGTGTATGTATGTCATGTGGTGTGTGTATGTATTGTGTGTAGTGTCTGTGGGGGTCGGGGAGAGGTGGACTTCAACTGCAGGGGGCACTCCCAGCTCCCCCAGGGCTCCCTGGCAGGCAGGGGCCCAGCCTTCATCAGTCGAAGCTGAGCTTTTCTCCTCAGAACTCAGTCTCCCCTGTTGCCCAGGTGTCAGGAAGAGCGGGCCGGTCTGCAGGCAGCGCTGGAGCAGAGGCAGCAGGAGGCTGAAAGGAGGGGCGCCGTCTACGAGGAAGAGCTTGCAGGGCAGCGGGACCTGATCCGTGCCATGAAGAGGCGGGTGCTGGAACTGATTCAGTAAGTGGGGGTCAGTGGGCAGGGGTGCAAAAGGGGAAATGGCATGGGATATAGAGGCTGGGGAATGAAAATTTTGCTCCACTAACAACTACCAAGCAGGATTCTGGGCCTTTTGTATATATATCAACTCATTTTCCTTTTTTTAGCAACGCCCTGCTATTATTACCATTTTACAAACTGAGGGTCAGAGAAGCTGACTTGGCCACCAAGGACACACAGCATATAAACTGCATGGAGTCCTCTGACTCTAAGACATGTCCTCCACCTCAACCCAGCCCACATATACACATACATACTTACTAAAGTTAGGGGAAGGAAAGGAACCCATGGGCTGAGAAGGAATTGGGAGAAGGGGCAGGTTAACCAAGAGGTAATCACATGTCCTACACCAGCCTGCCTCCTGGACTTCCTCAGACCACTGGGCCTATGGGCCTGTCCTGGGTCAGCTGACCTCGGTTTTAAATGCTGAGCTCCCCAGACTCAATTCCCAGCAGCTAAGCTCCCTGAGGGATGGAGATGTGTAACGCCTGCTCTCAGGTTCCATTAGAACTGGAACCCTGTGAGATCATCTACTACTAAGTCCTCTTGCACAAGTGATATTAAAGGTGAGATTAACCTGAAAGAACAAACAAAAAATGTAAGGAGTGATCTCCTCCAAGGAACTGTCAGCTGGGCAGAAGCGATATATAAAAACTTAGCTATGTATCTCACAAAATAATTCAAGTTCTCTAACAATAAAAGGTAAATATAGAGCAAGACATAAGATTGTTAAATAAAAATAGAAGATTTAATGGTAGAGGAAAAATATGTAGTCCCAAAGTGTTAGGTGTAAGATTAAAACTTAGTGCTGAGCATCTTGACAGCAGAATAAAAAAAGGGAAACAGAAAATTTCCTAAAGTTTACTGTCTGTTCAAAGGAAATATACCAGTTCGTGAGAAGAGACAAATGTTTTTCCTAAGTGCTAAGGATTTGTCCCAAGATCCCAAACCATATAATACTAGAGGCCTGGTATATGAATTCATGCACGGATGGGGTCCAGCAGGCCCCGCCCCCTTGGTCGAACTCCCGGTTGAACTCCTGGTCAAACGCCCAGGTCTAGGGAATAATTTGCAAACTATCCTTTTATTATATAGGATAATGTCCCTATTTGGGGATATATTACCCTAAGTAAAAAGTGGGGGAGCCAAGCAGGTTGACTTCTGCATCAAGATGCTAGACTGACCACACATCATGTATTCTCCATTCTCAGATCTCACTAAAATGATTGTGAAAGAATAAAACTACCAACAGAGAGGAAGGTGGAGAAGCCAACCAGAGATGAGAGATTCCAGCTAACTTCCAGAAGCCAAAAAAAAAAAAAAAAAAATGGATGGAGAAGCCCAGTTAGAACTTCAGGGTCCAGAGACACCAGGCACACATCTGGCAGAAGTGGGATGTGCCTAAATCAGGGAAATTAACTGAAGAAGTGGATAGAAAGACCAATGTATAGCCCCGGCGTCCAGCCTGCCTCCCCAACTGCACAACACTCAACAGTTGAGGAGCTTATCTGCATAGCAAATAATTCAAAGGTCCTTATCTGGAGGAAGTTAGATAGCCCGAATAGAAGAGCAGTGTGTTCTGGCTTTTGAGAGACCCACGTGGCAGGTACCTCCCAGCCCAGTGCCCCCTAAAGGGAAGCCTGAGTCAACTACCCTGGCGCTCTGCTTGGAGCTCCAGCAGCTTTAATGCTTCTTCTTAAATGTGAAATGGCAACCAAGTTTTTGTAAGCATTTGAGTCAGTCTAGATGAAGATCAAGGGAGAGAGACAAAGATAAACAAAGAAAGCTCCATCTCCCGTGAAACAAGAGTCTGTGAAAAGCGACCACCCAAAGATGAGAAACATTCTTGGAAATTAAAATATCACTGAGATTTTTCTAAATTCACTAGGATTGGAAGGGAAAGATGAGTCAATCTCTCAGAAAGTAGAATAAAAAGAATAGAGAGATGGGACACATGAGAGAAATATTTAGAGACATAAAGAATCAATCTAGAAGTTCCAATACCTTCTCCAACTGACAGGAATTTCAGAGAGAGAGAGAGAGCGAGAGCGAGAGCGAGAGCGAGAGAGAGAGAGAGAGAGAGAGAGAAGAGATTATTAGATAAAAATATGAGAGACTTTCTCAGTTCTAATGGACATAGATCATAAAGATTTCATTTAGTGACCAGAACAATGAATGAAAAGGGGGGTGGGCACATCTAGATACATCATTGTGAAATTTCTAGGAAAACTATCCTAAAAGATAGGCCACTTATGAAAGAAGTAGAACATAACAAATTTTAAGAATCAATGGTGCAATACTTTTAAGTTCTGAAAAAAAGCTGAATTTTGCCCTAGAATTCTGTGTCCAGCTCAACTATAGATTAAGTAGGGGAGGAGATAGAGGAAAAGACATTTTCAGACAGAGAGTTCACAGAAAAGTCACCTCCCACACAGTCTTTCTTACGAAGATAATTCAGGATGTGTCCCAGAAAAACAAGGAAGCAAGCCAAGAAAGGAGAAGATGTGGAATTCAGGAGTCAATAGCTCTAAGCCAGGAGAGAACAAAAGGGAATTCCCGACATGACTAGTGGGCAGCAAGGCCAGGAGGCAGTCATTCCAGGCTGCAGCACAAGTATTGCAGGCCCAGGAGAAAGGTCTCAGGGAAGAAAGAGAATCAGAAAAATACCTGATGTGAAGAATTGGGGTGGGCAAGAATAATTAGGCTGTTCTTATTGAGAGATAAAAATATAAATGATAAGAGAGAATTATTGATTGGCTGCTTCCTACACACACACACCAACACACCCCAACCCTAGGGATCAAGTTGTAACATCTTCTTAACACATCCTTAAAAAAAAAAAAAAAAGAACAATGAAGATAGAGTTTATTTATTGTGTTTGTGTTTTTTGGTGTGTGTTTTTCAGGGGGGGTTGGGGTGGGGCATAAACATCTCTAACTCCAAAGCAGTTTGTACCAAGTACCAAATAAAAGATCATAGGCATTATCTGGAGCAAGAAACTCCGGGGCCCTCTACCATCAGGGAGCATCCTCAGAGGAGGCAAGCTGTGAACAGGTTCTTCAATAGTGGGTTAAGGTTATGATGGGCCACGGGGACCTGTCACCATCCATCTAGTCTTCCCGGAAAGACTGGAGTCTCACTCTTATGTGTGTGAGTCTCTCTCCCCCTCTCACCATTGCTATGTCTCTTTCTCTCCATCTCTCTCTATATTTGTCTCTCCCTCTCTGTGTCTCGGCCCCTGTCTGTCTCTCTCCCACTGCATTTGTCTCTGTACTTCTCCATGTGTCTCTGTCTCCTTCTCCGACTCCCTGACTCCCTTTCTCTCTGAGTGTCTGACTCCCTCTGCCCCTCTTTCTCTCCTCCCCATTTCTATGTCTGTCTTTCCTCCCTACTGTTTCTCCATCTCTTTTTGTCTCTGTCTCTCTATCTGTGCATTTCCAACTCTATATCTTCCTTTGTGTGCTCTCTCTCTCTCTCTCTCTCTCTCTCTCTCTCTCTCTCTCTCTCTCTCTCTCTCTTTCTCTTCCCCTCTCTCTCCCCTCCCCTCCATCTACCCATCAGAGAGAAGGACAACCTGTGGCAGAAGGTTCAGCAACTCTCTTCCATGGCCCCTGGATGCTGTGTCAGCTGTAGCAAGCTCTTTGGACGGCTGTCTCGGCGGTACCCATGCAGGTAATGGGTGGGGCAGCCCAGTGTCCACCAGCCCACAGTCCCCTGCCCATTCCGGGGAAGGGAGGGACACAGGAACTGGGCATCTATGAAAGGCTGCTTAAAGCTGGCCACTCATATTACCCAGAACTTAGCGGAGACATGATGAGAACAGCAGAAAAATGTCAGACAGGAAGGGTGTCTGATAGATGGGATGGTGCAACCTTTCTGAGAACAGCTGATTAATGGGCTTCTGCTCAGGGAAGCGGCTCCCCTGGCCTCCGTCTGGGACACAGCGGCAGGACAAGCAGCAGGAGGGAGGGAAGCGGGCCGTCGCAGAACCCGCCATTTGGAATTAGAGGACCTAGAGGAGTGGGGCATCGGGTCACCCTTTGGGAAAGGGGCGGCCTCCTGGGACAGAGCCAGGGCTGTTCTGCTAGAAAATGAGAGACAGGCAGTTGGACTTGAAGGTACTCAAACCCCCTGACCCCCTTCCCTATACACACCCATGTGCTCCCCACTCTTTCCACCTTTGCTCCCAGGCTGTGTGGAGGCCTGGTTTGCCACGCCTGCTCTCTGGACTATAAGAAGCAAGAGCGCCGCTGCCCACCCTGTGCCCAGAAAGGAGAAGCCCAGGTCGTCTAACCAAAATCTGTCCCAACCTCCCCTCAGCACTTTCAGGACCTATGATCTGACCAGTACTACCTTCCAGAACTTGGTGACTTAGGCAGGTGGCACTCGAGGAGCCAGACTGTGGTGTGGAGAGTGGAAAGAGCCAGGGTGACAGTCAGGAGGCAGCTCAAGCTCTGCATCTCCCACTGATGAGCTGGACAACTCAGCTCTCTGAACTCTCCGGTAATGTGAGGATGTCAGGAGTCATCCACTCTAACGTCCCTTTGGCTTCAGAAAATCCTTGACTAAGAATAAGACCCAATGGCCTTGCCGAAACCTGTTTGGCTCAGTGGATAGAGCATCGGCCTGCCTGGGTCCTGAATTCAATTCCAGTCAAGGGCACATACTTTGGTTGTGGGCACATCCCCAGTGGGAGGTGTGCAAGAGAAGGCTGATCAATGTTTCTAACTCTCTATCCTTCTCCCTTCCTCTCTGTAAAAAAAATCAATAAAATATATTAAAAAAAAAAAACAAAAAAAAACACCCAATGGCCTTGACTTTCTCCTCCACACTCTCTCCTCACCCAGACCGCCCTTCACCACACTGCACTGTCTCAGGGTCCCCAGGAGCATTCTGTCTGGATTCTGCTTCGGGTTCCGTTTTTGTCCTGCTTTGTTTTTAACATCTTTCCTGGGGCACTACTAACATATAACACACTTCACATAAATTTTACAATTTGATGAGTTTTTACTTTACTTTATGCCCATGAAGTCACCGCCATATTGAAAATAATGAATGCGTCCATTAGGGCCAAAGTTTTCTCCTGCCCTTTGGAATCTCTCTATCCCTCTCCACTAACCTCCACTCCCAGATAGCCACTCACCTGCCTTCACTAAAGACCACTTTGCATTTTCTAGAGTGTTATATAAATAGAATCATATGGTCTGCCTTCTTTCGCTCAACATAATTATTTTGAGATTCATACACATTGCTGTTCATACTCATAGTTACTTTTTTTCACTGTTGAGTAGCATTCCGCCACCTGGATAATGCACCATCTGTTCACACATTCACCTGTTGCTAAACATTTGGGTTGTTTCTAATTTGAAGCTATTACAGATCAGTTTCCTATCATCATCTGTGCACGGATCTTTGTGTAGACATAATGCCTGTATTTCTCATGGGTTCATACCTAAGAATGAAATGGTCAGCTCACATGGCAGGTATATGTTTAAGAAACTGCTGCGTTATCGTCCATAAAGAGTATATGTTGTGCCATCCCACCAGCAGGGTGTGGGTGTCCCGGCTGCTCCCCAGGGCATTTAGCTTTGGGGGCAGGAGAAGAGACACAGACATGGAACCTGGGCCTCTCTATCCTTCCCCTCCAACCACTGAGGTGAATTAAACAGTCCCAAGTTGTGAGGCTAGAGGGAGGGGCTTAGTCTAAGTGACTCTGTGCAGTGCTCACTTGCTAGACTTTAATAAAGACAGTTAAGAATTCGGGTAGCTCTGTGGTACAAGTTATACCCTCTGACTGTCCAAGAAGTCTTACGCAACTTGTTTCGTTCACTGGGCACCCAATTGTGGTGTTTCTGAAAATACTGTTTCTGAAGAAACATGGGGTCCCCTCTATAATAGGGCAGACTCTCTGGCCCCGAGCAGGTATGCAGGCTGTCCCACAGCCTCTGCAGCGGTTGAGCAACTCTGTAGCTCTGACCAGAGCCTGTGACCGCCTCTTGGGGTCAGGGCCACCTAGGATTGCATCCCATTACCATCTTATGGAGCAAGAGTTTTGCAACAGCAGTTCCTGCCCTGGAGAGCTGATGAGAACTTCTCTTTAGCGGCGTCAGCGACAAGGTGAGCAGGGAGGGTCAGGGAATGGAGGGAGGGAAGGGTGGAGGGAGGCCAGAGCAACTCCCAGAGCAATTAGGTCAAAAGAATCAGCATGCCTTCCTGGAGGTCACACTTGCCCACATACTTCTATTAGAACATGGATTTCAGTCCCGCCTGGTGAACTAATGGGGTAGAAGTGAACTAGCAGAAAAGCCTAAGTTCAAAGCGGAAGCAAAATGCTCCTGGATGAGACCTTGTCGTGGGGAAATCAGGGGCCAAGAATGGGAGAAAAGTCCCCCTGGTTGGGAGCAAAGGAGGGCAATGCTGGGAACCAGAGGGTCCCCTGTGCTCACAGCCTGGGGGTGCCCCGGGCAACAATTATTTCTTTAACTAGAGGTGTGGTGTAAGAAATGCGTGCACTCGGGGGTGGGGGGGCACGGCCCTCAGCCCAGCCAGCGCCCTCTTGCAGTCCAGGAGCCCTTGGGAGATGTCCAACTGACGGCTTAGGCCCACTCCCTATGAGCCTGGCTTTTGGCTGAGTGGTGCTCCCCCGGTGGGAGTGTGCTGAGCACCAGGGGGGCAGCTCCTGCATTGAGTGTCTGCCCCCTGGTAGTCAGTGCGTGTCACAGTGACTGGTCATTCCACCTTTGGTCAATTTGCATATTAGCCTTTTATTATATAGGATTGGATGTCACTCAGAAGTTCCAGCATACAACAGTTTCCCTGCTTTGTCAATCCATTCAGTGTTCAAGAAGATCATGTTTTATACCTAGGATATGCCTAAACACTGATTGGTTTAAGGATACAGAAAAAAAAAATTATATATATAGGAGCCCACTGCACAAATTTGTGCACCTTGTAAGGAACAGTGGACCACAAGGCTGCAGTGGGCACAGGGATGGGTCTCAGCTCATCCTCCAAACCTCCACCCAGCCCCTACACTGCAGCTCCCACACACTCCCGCTGCCGCTGCTCCCACACGCTGATGGCCCCTGCCCCACTCGCACCTCTGACGGCGCAGAGCATTTGGGGCTTGTGTCAGCAGTGGGTGCAGGCAGGGTCGGTGCCATTAGCTGGTGTAAGCAGCTGATGCTGCCCCGATTCCCCCTCAGGAGCAGGAGGAGGTAGAGAAGCCCTCAGGGTAATTGGGACCGGCACCAGGTGCCAGCAGCAGATGTGAGCAGTGGCTCCAGCACCAGCTGCAGGTGTAAGCAGGGCCGTTGCTGGCAGGGAGTGTGAAAGGTAGCTGCCAGCCCTGATCGCCCCTCAGGGGTGGGGGAGATGTAGAAGCCCTGAGGGCCAACTGGGCCTGCAGCTGCTGCTTGCACCCACTGACAGTGCCAAGTGATCGGCTGTGGCTGGTCTCTGGCAGTAAGTAAGAGCAGCAGCTCTGGTGCCGACAACAGGTGCAAACATGGGGTGGGACTGCAGAGCATGGTAGCAAAGAATTTTCGGTAACCACCAAAGGTTTGCCCTGATGACAGCAACCAGCACTCCACCTTGGTCTGGTGCCCCTGCTCACCTGCTCCATCATCCTGCTGTTACTGACGACCGCCACATTCCACACTCTATTGCCTGCTGCTCACTGCTCACTCACCATGTTCTGT